TTTCAATCCAACACACCATACACAAACAAAAATTATGATCAAAGGTAGCGCCATCTCTCGGGGACTTTTCAAACTAAAAAGTTTTATATCGAACTTTGCACAATGCCAAATTCAATATATATAATATTTTTTCATATTTTATAAATATTGAATTTTGCATGGGGCCAAATTCAATTATTTTTTCAAAGTTATTTTATATATATCGAACTTTGCATGCTGCTAAATTCGATATAAATATTATTTTTTATTTTAAATATATGCAAAATAGTGGTCATTTTTATCTATATATTGTTTTTCCTGCAAAATATTTTACATATAAGACGAAATAATTATGGAACATATGGCGCCCCATAGGTTAAATAGTTTGAAATAGGGACAAAATACATTTCCCCAGGGTTATTTCACTACTTATTCGCCAATTTACTATGAACTATAAATTGTTGTAAAAATAAGTTGCTTTTTTATTTTTCCAATTTTCAAGGTATTGTTTCACTTAAATTGTGATTGAATATCGAAGGGTAATTGAAAAGACGTTAAATGAATCTAGATTTAACTCCCCTACCCCTCTGATAAGGAAGATACCCAAATAAAGTGTCAAAAACATAGGATTTTTTCAATTCTCTCAAGCTTCAAGGTATTGTTTCACTTAAATTGTAATAGAATATCGAAGAGTGATTGAAAAGACGTCAAATTAACCTAGATTTAACATCCCTACCCCTCTGATAAGGGAGATACTCAAATAAAATGTCAAAAATATAGGATTTTTTCCAATTTTCTCAAACTTCAAAGTATTGTTTCACTTAAATTGTGATTGAATATCGAAGGGTGATTGAAAAGACGTTAAATGAATCTAGATTTAACATCCCTACCCCTCTGATAAGGGAGATACCCAAATAAAGTGTCAAAAACATAGGATTTTTTCAATTCTCTCAAACTTCAAAGTATTGTTTCATTTAAATTGTAATAGAATATCGAAGAGTGATTGAAAAGACGTCAAATTAACCTAGATTTAACATCCCTACCCCTCTGATAAGGGAGATACTCAAATAAAATGTCAAAAATATAGGATTTTTTCCAATTTTCTCAAACTTCAAAGTATTGTTTCACTTAAATTGTGATTGAATATCGAAGGGTGATTGAAAAGACGTTAAATGAATCTAGATTTAACATCCCTACCCCTCTGATAAGGGAGATACCCAAATAAAGTGTCAAAAACATAGGATTTTTTCAATTCTCTCAAACTTCAAAGTATTGTTTCATTTAAATTGTAATAGAATATCGAAGAGTGATTGAAAAGACGTCAAATTAACCTAGATTTAACATCCCTACCCCTCTGATAAGGGAGATACCCAAATAAAGTGTCAAAAACATAGGATTTTTTCAATTCTCTCAAATTTCAAGGTATTGTTTCACCTAAATTTTAATAGAATATCGAAGAGTCATTGAAAAGACGTCAAATAATCCTATATTTTTGACATTTTATTTCGATTTCTCCCTTATCAGAGGGGAAGGGGGGGGTTAATCTAGGTTTATTTGACGTCTTTTCAATCACTCTTCGATATTCTATCACAATTTAAGTGAAACAATACCTTGAAGTTTGAGAGAATTGAAAAAATCCTATGTTTTTGACACTTTATTTGGGTATCTTCCTTATCAGAGGGGTAGGGAAGTTAAATCTAGATTCATTTAACGTCTTTTCAATCACCCTTCGATATTCAATCACAATTTAAGTGAAACAATACCTTGAAAATTGGAAAAATAAAAAAGCAACTTATTTTTACAACAATTTATAGTTCATAGTAAATTGGCGAATAAGTAGTGAAATAACCCTGGGGAAATGTATTTTTTTTACTACTAACCTGAGAAATAGACATTATTCAATCTATTTTTCTAAGAAAAAATTGAATTTCTCTCCCTAGGTTAATAATGAAAATAATGAAAAAATACCTAGGTCAATAATGAAAATGACGTCATGACGCAAGGATATTGTCATGTTTCTATTGGTTCAATTTCAATTTCATACGTCAATTTGAAAAAAAATACAGGTTTCTGTAGGTACATAGGAAGTTATATAAGCTGTTGATAGAGGGCAGCACTTTCAAGAGGGCGTTCACAAAAAATAATTAAAACACAGATTTTAAACAATTTTTTTTATTTTCTACTAGCAGTAGTAAAAAAAATTCTATATATTCCTCGGTAGAGAAAGTCATTATATACCTCAAGCATTATAAACCGAGGCGCTGCGCGCCTCGGTTTATAAAAGCTTTCGGTATATAATGACCAACTTCTTTACCTAGGTATATAATATACTATTGTCCCTATTTCAAACTATTTAACCATTTAAAAGAAGATATATTATGATTTTGCATTTTAAAATAATCATCACCAGTAATGAACTGGTCGACTGTAAAATTTTTGTTGCTGGCTCCTTATTGCTGGCAACAAGGAGCTCACTTCACGGATATATAAATACGACGGTTTTTAAATACGTATTTTGAATATTATTGCAGAACAATAATTAAAAATTAGGATTTTTGTTAAATGTGGGTGGCCATCAGAACACAACTGACAACAGGGAATAAAAAATTACAAATGTCAAAAATGACTTTTATCAACTCGAGAACTGTCAAATAGCGAATTTAATTGGTAAAACTTGTGCAGAAAAATGTATTTTTATCTCTTTCTTATACAAGCTGTTAGAAAAAGACACAAATATATTCAGTGCACACTAATGCCCGTATGCACCATTGCACAAATTCTCTGATTAAGACTTTAGCCATGATCACAAAATATTTTTCATATGCACCAAGCGTTTTTTTCGCCTATTGGCAATTAACTTTAAATTGCTCGATGGCCTGGAATTTAGAACAAGATAACCGCGGCTAGTTAATAAAATGAGGTTAGATGTTTTGGTTCCGATTTCAAATTTCATATTTACATTTTACAAACATTTTTGTGAAAAAAAAACTGGAACAAATTTGTGTGAAGTGAGCCAGGAAAAAAAAAAGAACTGAAATCAGGAATATGGAGGTGGAGAGACATTATTTGACAATGATTAATTTGGATAATGAAATTGTGTTAGATGGGTTTCCGTTTCCCAGGCGTTGGAATGAGAGGGAAAATTATTTTGAAGCCTTGGATGATCTGATCTATAAGCCAATGTCGTAGATCATAGATCTTCTTGAAGAGGTAGAAGATGCCCTATCATTATTATAGGGTGTAGTACCTACATTCTATGCAAATTTATGACTTGATTCTTGATTTCAATAACTAGGTAATGACTATGTAATTACTGTTTATTTCAAATAAAATGCCCTACATGCCCTGGATGTTTTGTTTGTTTGTTTATAAAATTAAAATTCATCGACAAAAACGCAGAATGGGTCTCGCCAACCCCACATACCGCCAACCCAAAATGGGCTTTTATTGCCTTTTATTAAAATCTATAGGAAATTTGCGACGTTATCCGTGAGTTCCTTTCAGGTGGCCCTCATTACAAAATCACAATTAACTAATTTGAGTGCAAAATCCTTTGGTGCATCGAACCGACATTTTTACCGTGATTAGCTAATAACGAAAATACGTGAAAATGGTGAATAGTATGAGGAGCTCCGGAACAGCTCCGGGCATAGAGGCTCCGGGGCGTTATGCGCTTATTCCTTCCGAAAAGTGTTTGTTGCACCTGAGTACTCAAGCCCAAAGTAAACCATAAATGCACGAAAGTCGGCGAATCTGTTCCTTTCAAATCGGGTTGACACACCGGAGCGAGTAGCTCTAGTGTTTCAAACTCTTGAAAGGAATACAGCTACATACTGGAAAGCAGCTTTATATCCTATCGGCGGTTCACTCTCGTACTCTATCCGTTCCAGCGGCCGCACCGATGCGGCGTGATCCCGACAATCCGGAGCCGTTGATCGAAACGAGTCTGTCGGTGTAATGTACTCCGTCTCTAAATCTGTGTCCCTACTCCGAGTCCACACTTTTTCCTGTTCCACTGGCCGGCGCGGCGTGATCCGATTAGTTCGAGTTTGACTCCGAGTCCGTACAACGTAGACAACGCAAAAGTGGTCATAAAATTGCATATAATACTACCACCCTATCATAAGTTAAGTTAGGGCATCTTCCACCTCTTCAGGAAGATCTACGACTATTGGTTTATAAGATCATCCATCCAAGGCTTCAAAATAATTTTCCGTCTCATTCCAACGCGTTGGAAGCCCATCTAACACAATCATTATTTATCAGTATCCAAATCATCGTCAAATAATAGGTGGTCCATCTCCATATTCCTTATTTGATTTCTCCCTGCTCACCCTCGCCACACACTATTTTTCCAGTAATTTTTTGGGGACAAAAATGTTTTTAAAATGTAAAAACAAAACAAAACATTCTAACCTCATTTCATTATAGCCGCGGTTATCATCCTAACCGTGCGTTCGTTATTTTGGTCCGAGTTCTCCGAGCTTGACTTTACCGTTCGTTTATTTAAAAAGTGTACTCGGTGCAGCCTCATTCGCGTTCGTTTATTAAAATTTCTGGCACTTTTAAACAGCGTTCAACTGCTCTGTGCGCTCACTGGTCACGTGATTACGGCTCCGCTCAGCACGCTCTGCTTTTTGAGCAAAATACCGAACGCAAGGTAAATTCCAGGCCATCGAGCGATTTAAGTTAATTGCCGATTAGGCGAAAAAAACGCTTGGTGCATACGAAAAATATTATGTGATCACGGCTAAAGTTTAATCAGAGAATTTGTGTAATGGTGCATACCAGGCAAATGCAAAATCCTTTGGTACATCAAATCGACTTTTTTAACCGTGATTACATAATTAGCCCTGATTAGCTAATTACGAAAATACCTGAAAATGGTGCATACAGGCATTACTCTTCCAATAAATTTGCTATAAGTTTCGAAAAATGTGTGCACTCAAGTGCACTGGCAACACTGTAGTTTTAAATTGACGTTTTCAAATTTTGACATTTCGACGTCAAATCGTTCGAATCCAAAACAAGCTTGGCCCCTGCTGGATGGCGTGTTCTTCGTAAATTTAAAAATTTCCAGTGCTTTTTTTTGTTTGTTTTCAAACAAAATTTCTCACTGTAGTGCATTTTGAGGTTATCTTTATTGGGGCCCCCAGTATTTCGCAATGTTCAAATCGAAAGAATTGAACGAATCGCAGTATTTGAACAATGTCACGTTGCCTAGAGTGAACGACACGTGCAACGGTAAGCCTCAAATAACATCAACCCCTATAAATTCGCTAGATTTGAGGAGGAAGTCGGTTCTGTCTCCTCCATTTCCTAATGCCAGACATGCATCCCCTCGAAAGTAAGTAAGTACCTATTTATTATGTTATTACTAGTATCATCACCTTAAGGAATTTATTAAGAAAGGGTGACTTTAATAATAATGTAATTATCCAATAGCAAGCGGTGTACCGATGAAACTATTGTCTCTTTAAAATTTGTTATTGTTTACATTTTCCTTTAATTATGCGCCATAATGGATCATTCTTGCTGCACTCTGTCTTAATTCTTTGTCTAAACGATTTTTAAATATATTAACGTTTGCTGCAGTAACCGTTTCCTCTGTGAGTGCATTCCATGAATATACCACACGATTGGTCAGAAAATTCTTCCTTTGGAGTTTAGCAGCCCTTTCCTTGTCTATTTTCATAGAATGTCCTCGAAGCTGTGGATTCTGGTTGAGACGAAAGATGTTCTTGATTTCGCACTGATAGTGTCCACTAATTATTTTATACGTTTCGATAAGGTCTCCTCTATGTCTTCGCTCCCTTAGCGTTATTAATTGAAGTCTTTCCAGTCTTTCTGGGTATGGTAAATTTTTCAGTTCATTGGGTATCTTCGTGACTCTTCTTTGTATTTTTTCCAGGATCTCAATATCTTTTACGTAATATGGGTTCCATACTGTGTAAGCGTACTCAAGTTTTGGCCTAATATAGCTTTTATATAGTATTGAAATCATTTCCATTGTGTGGTCTTTGAATGCCTGTTTTACAAGGTAGACGAACGAGTTGGTCTTTTTGGCTATTTTCGGAATGTGGTTTTCCCATTTTAAATTTGCAGTCACGATAACACCCAGGTCATTTTGCTCATCCACTACCGACAAAACTCTGTTATTCAATGTGTATTGTTCGTTTGGGTTGTTTGGACCAATTCTTAATACTGTGCATTTAGATTCGTTTAGTTTCATCCCCCAGGTACTGGACCATTCCTCGATTCTTTGAAGATCTCTCTTGAGCTGAATTGCGTTAAGACAGGGGTTTGCATATATTTTACCATCATCAGCAAAATTTTTCATTCTCGTCTCAATCAGGTCGACAAGTTCGAAGAGATATGCCGTAAAAAGCAAAGGCCCTATTACTGATCCCTGAATAACTCCGCTGCTGACTGGATGTTGCTTAGACATTTCGCCATTCACTCTCACTTGATAATGCCTTTTGTATAGGGAGTCTGCTATCAATGACAGTATTTGTCCTCGCACACCATAGTGTTCAAGCTTGATAAGCAAATAATTCTGAGGAACTTTATCGAATGCTTTTTCATAATCCAAATAGATAATGTCAGTTGGTTGGGAGTTGTAATGGTTTTCTGTCCAATCATCCAGGCATTCGATTAGGTTTGTTGTAGTGGACCGTTTTGGAAGAAATCCATGCTGTGATGGAGGTATCAAATTGTTTTCTGTGAAAAATGATGTTAATTCTTTCACAATAATTTTTTCCATGCATTTCAATGGATTACAGTTGAGGCTTATGGGACGATAATTTTCTGGTTTGTGTCGGTCTCTTTTTTTGAATAGCGGTGTTACTATTGACAGTTTCCATTGCTCCGGGATCCTTCCCAGATGTATACACTCTTGCATCACTTCTGCCAAGTACGAACTAATTGTTTCACTGCAGTTCTGGAGGAAGATTGTAGGAATTCCATCTGTACCAGAACTTGATTCTTTTTTCATTTTCGTAAGGGTCTCTTTTACCTTCTCTTCAGTGAAGACTATGTTGGTGATTGAGTTCTGGTTTTTGATACTTGCTGGCTGTGGTGGAGGGGTGTAGTTTTGTGGTTGAGAGAATGATTTATCAAATTGGTATGCAAATTTTTCCGACATGGTTTTGTTATCCATAATTTCGTGACTGGTTGGATCTTTGAGCGTTATTGTAGACACTTTAGAGTTTAAGGCTCTACTTATGTATTTGTACAACTGCTTAGGTGACTTTGAGGCTGCTAAGTTATGTTCATATGTTTTTCTAGCATCAAATAGTTTTTGTTTCAGAGTGTTGTTTTGATTTCTGTAAAGCTGATAGTTTTCTGGCGTTTTATTCTGCCTGTATCGGTCCCATAGTTGTCGCTTGTTATCAATTTCCTTGAAATGTACTGCAGTAATCCATGGCTTTTGCTGGTTGACTTTTATTGATCTTAATGGAATATACCTTTCTATAGCCTCATTAATAATTCTTTGATAGTTGTCAAATTTTGATTGTTCTGCATTAACCTGCTGTTGTCTGATATAACCATTTATTTGCTCATATTTTGCAGTGCGAAAATTTCTTTTTTGAATCTTATGGGTTTGTTTCGGCGGTAATTTTATCTGGGCTCTCGCTGTAATAACAACATGGTCACTTTGCCCAACTGGTGGCTCAGATCGAATGTCAAAAATATTTTTTTTATCGCTGCTCAAAAACAAGTCCAAAAGGGAGCTTTGACTATTCCTAAATCGATGAACATGAACTTAGCGAAACACTCGTCGCCAAACTCAATGGGCATGGGTGGATTATTTGTTGTTAAATTGTTGCTAATTAGTTACGGCAATATTGATTTTGTTGCTCTTTTGAATTTTTTTTTTTTGGGTGATTCGCTAAGTTCATATGAAGTTAGCGAAACATGTCTCCTTAGAACGTCTCTAGTAATAAATTAAATGCATGGAACTTTGTTGCTAATTATTTGCTAATTAGTTACGGCCATTTTAATGGCGGGAAGTAATTATTTTTGTTTTTAAGAGGTGCTTCGCTAACTTCACACGAGCAATCTCATCTGTAGATGACTCACAACCAATTAGAAAATTAATAGGAATTAGTTGCTAATTAGTTACAGTAGCTAAAGGTACAGCGAATTATTTTTTTCGTATTTTCGGGTGCCTCGCTAAGTTCACACGTAGGTACATAATTACACCACAACGTATCCAAACGATGGGAAATACGTTTTTTATTTTGTTGCTAATTAGTTACTAATTAGTTACTATCATTTAGAATTTGTTACGCGACTCCACATTTGATATTCAATGTCTTTGTCCCTGTCATGGCCGCCAAGATTTCAACCTTCTTAAACTTTCCCTGACTAATTTAATATTTTGTTACTAATTAGATGACGACTAATTATCGCCACTTCAATCAATAATAAATAAATAATAAATATTTCTTTATTTAGCACTTAGCTAGTTATTGCAATACAATTATTTACATTTTTTTTTGTAATAATTTGTAAATAATTGTACTTCAATCGCTTGAATGATTTTCTTGTTCATTTTTCCGGGTGCCTCGCTAAGTTCACACCTGCTTTATAATGCAGAAACGCAATTAGATCAGTTTACCTAACAAAACAAAAATTTCCAATTGGTTAGGTAGGTTAGTGGCAAGGATATTAAACCACAACAGGATGGTTACCCCGGCGAGCACGCGGTGCTGTAGTGACGTCATCTGGCATGGACAAAAACGAGAAGTAACCATCCTGTTGTGGTTTAATATCCTTGAACATGTTCCATGTGCAATTATTAGAGCTACGATTGATTTAACCGACTGTTGCATTAAAAAATAATCATTTTGGCTTGTTATGGAGAAACGGGCCAGATTTGAAAAAGAGTGGCCAACGGGCCACTCCGTCTTAGAAAGGGCCAGATCTGGCCATATTAGGCCACCTGTGGCAACACTGCTTCTGTTGAGTGCTGTGTTTATCACGTGTCAGAAAAGGAAACGCGAATAAAGAAAGTGTCTATCGTCTATAGAAATTGATATCCTTATCGATAAACCGATAGAAGGAAAATGCCTCGAGGACGACCACCTTTAATTGATAATCAAATAATAATTGAATCAGTATTGAGGCATAAAGACGAAATTATTTTGGATCCGGAGAGCAATACCACCGTGACAAGAACGCATTGTGTGTGGAAAATAATTTCTGCGGAACTGCTCGACCGGATAGGACCAAGTTCGTTGTACGCTTATGTCGTAAATGACAGATTCTCTTTGAGAAGCTTGCTGTTTGGTACAAACTGTACTACAGGAAAAGTACCAAATGATTTGAATGACACGACTTCGTCCACCATCGTCGAATTTGACCGAACAACTCCGAAGCAAATTCGTGATTTTGAATTCATTTTAACATTTGGTGAAAATGAATTCAATGAACTTATTACGGAAACGCAGAGACAGATGATCGATAAAAAAGGCAAAAGAAAATTTCGTGTAGTGAATATTTTGAGACCACAAGTATGGACTGAAACGATATCGAAAAAAATTTTTGATGAGCATCACCTTCTTCACGGCTACCACGTTAAAAGTAGTCACATTAATCAGGGTAAACGATCAGGTGGATTCAAAGGTAAAACATTCATTTTTTCATACAGAAGAATTATATGAATTAAACACTCCGAATTTATAGATATAAATTTAATAATAAAATCAGTAAAAAGTAGGTAACTGATTCTGATAAGTTAATACTTTTTTTTCAATGTTAAGATTTGGATAATGATTAGTTCAATTTCGTATTATAATCACGTTTGTTATCAGTGTAATTCATTTCATGGTAATTATTAATATTCTACGATTTGTAAGTCAAATGAAAATAGTAACTAATATGGACTATTTCCACGATAGGACCGACGTTAAACTAGTTCGCTCTAATTGGTCCAAGCAAACAAAAAACTCCAAAAAACTCAATACCTCTGCGTCAATTTTGGGAAATTTGAAAAATAGTGAAGGAAAAACCGTCTTACACTTTCTTCGAGACTTCCATACTCAATTCCATATTTGTTCCATAATTGTTCATATTTTCAATTTTTGTCAATTATTTTGCACCTCGCAAGTTTGATATCAAGGGGTTTCTCCGACGTCCTCAATGTTTGAAAATCTAACTCCCAGGGAGTCCCGAAGGAACTCCAATGATCCCGAAGGAATCCCTGGGTCCTTCCGGGCGTCCTTAAAAAGTCCATACCTGCACTGAGAGAAAGTATTAGTCGCAGTTACTAAATTGAATGGTTAGTGTGACCTCAATGTCACAACTAATTGTTTTTAGTAAACTCGACTAAAAATTAGTCAA